GGGACGGAGGGGGCTCGGTGGGACCGAAAGAAGCCCGGCCTTGTTTATCCTCCTTGTCACCAGCGCTTTGACACTTTCTATTTCGGTGCCTGCCTGCTCCTACACAGACCCTGAAAGAGTAATGACAGGAACAAAACACAGGACTCGAGCGGAGACACTTGACAGGGCGCGGTTTCCGCCCGCCGCTCTCACCCTCCACTCGGCGCCCAGGTACCCCCCAACCCAGCTAGCGCCCCTCCCAAGTGAGAGGAGGGCAGAGGCTGTGGCTTGGTAACCACTGCCCAGGGAATTAGAAATCTGGTCACAGATTCAAGTACACACACACACACACACACACACACACACACACACACACACGCATTATTGCTAGGCTTTCCTTCTTTCTGGACTCCCAGAAGCGGGTGTGATGGGGTGGGGAAAGAATCCAGGATTTAAAGCCGTTGATATTCTAGCACAATGTGGAGAAAGCATCTCCCACAGAGAAATTATTGTTTCATAAGTTGTCTCAAGTTTTCAGGAGGGCATGTATTTTCTTCCCCAGTTAGATTGGAAATTCCTTGACTTCTGTGTACTCAGCACACAGTACGAGTAAGCACGCAAATTCTTGTGATTTAACCATTGGCGGTTTACATCCAACTTCCTGTATAAATTCAACCCATATATAGACTTGAAGGGTAGGGACATTCATACAGCTCAGATTCCTGGTACAAGCCTTGCGTATAGTATTTTAGTTACCAAATACCTTTTGGTCACTTATCCCATCAAGATAGTTTATGAACTTCAACCCTTGACCTCATCTCTTTGTCAGAGGTCACAATGAATGCCTGCCTGTAGAATCTGGCCCACAGATGTGTTTGGTTTGGCATACACCATGCTTCAAAAAATTTTTTAAATTAATTGCCAATACTAAAGAGTTAAGAGGTTTCCCATAACAGAGCTGGATTTCTGGATTTTCTTGTAAAAAAAAAAAAAGGAAGATTTGGTAACACAGACACCACAGGGCAAGGAATGCTGATGCCAAGTTGTGTCAGTCCCCTTGGAGGCACCCTGGTTAGTCGCTCAGCCCCCATGCCTGTCTTCCCCCTTTGCACCTGCCTGGCCCCTGCAGCCACTTGAGTCCTCAGCCCAGTCTCTGTGTATGTTGTCGCCTCCCTTCCATTTTCCATCTGTCTCTCAATGACATCACCACAGTGCCTCAATCTTGGTGAGACATCTTCAAGTAGCCACTGACTCATTTCTCTCTTTCTGCCCACACCTCCAGGCTAGTCCTTGCCAGACCTGTGAGTCCTTCAAAATGCCTGTGGTCTAGATTTCTTCCTTCCCATCTGTGAGATTGCTCCCTCCTCAGTTGTTAGAAAAACTCCCCAGTGGCTGAGTCTGGTCTCTTCCCACTTTACCCGCCCTGTGTACTAGAGGCCTGATGAAGCTTCCTGTAGTATGGCTGTTATTAGATGCCTATTTTGCTCAAAACTGTCAATGACTCCATGTTGCCTCCTGCCAGAATAGCAATTTCTAAGCATTTTGTAATATTGCTGGTGTATTTAGGATAATGGCTTGTTCCTCCTTTTATTTATACAAATGCATCTCCACATGAGACTGTAATCATTACCATTGCCATTTGTTTAGGAGTTTACAGTAGCAAAAACAGTCATATTTGCTATTTCATCTGACCAACAGTCGATTTCATTACTTTGGAGGGGTACTTTTTTTCTGGGTCTAGGCCCCCTAGGCACAAATTATGGATAAATTGTCAGGCCCTATGATTTACCTTTTTAAATCTTTAAAAACATCCTTTTAACTTTTTATTTTGAAGTAATTTCAGCTCTAAAAATATGCAAAAAAATACTCAAAGAATTCCCATATACCCTTCACCCAGCATTCCCAAATATTCATATCTTTTTTTTTTAAGAAAGGGGTTCCGTATTTTCACTGCTTTTAAGTATATTTTATTGATTTTTTTACAGAGAAGAAGGGAGAAGGATAGAGAGTTAGAAACATCGATGAGAGAGAAACATCAATCAGCTGCCTCCTGCACACCCCCTACTGGGTATGTGCCCGCAACCAACGTACATGCCCTTGACCGGAACTGAACCCGGGACCCTTGAGTCCGCAGGCCGACGCTCTATCCACTGAGCCAAACCAGCGAGGGCTATTCATATCTTACATAACTAGAATACAGTGACCAAAATTAGGAAATTCATATTGTCCCAATATTAACTAATCGACAGACTTTATTCAAGTATGAATTAATTTTTAATTACATATCATTTTTACTAAATAATGGTCTTTCACACAGTAAAGTTCAAAAGTGAAGTATGAAAACAGTCATTTACAAGTAATTTGCAAAAACATTTCCCAGTATAACATTAGCTATGTACCAGATCCTCTTACTCACCATCAAAACCCAGCAGGTGGAGGTTGTCACAAAACAGGCCTGTCTAGGTGAACAAGTAAAGCTAGTAACCTTGACCTGGCCCTAAGATTCTTCTATGCTTTACTGAGGATTCCTCAAAGGGACAATCATAGCATTTTCAATCTGGACCAACCTGAGACCTTTTGGTTCCTGCTTCCTGATCAGTTGGATTCAAGTTGTTTAGGGTTCAGGGTTGAGGTGATACTGAGCACTGGGCAAGGCGTCCATCATGCCTGGGCCCATTGAACAAACCTTTCTTGATATGTGTACATGGTAGCTATTTGTCTCTACTTGATAATGCTCAATTACCTGCACTTCATGGTGGGAAGAACTCACAACTTATGAAGCCAGAATGAAGCCACATGGTGACAGCCTTGTTCAGATCCTGGAAAGCTGCCTCCTCCCCAGTTGCTCTGTCCCCTCTCATTGCTGGGCATACCCTGCGGTAGGTGCCGGACTTATTCTGGACACTCTTTTTTATTTCAGAGAGGAAGGGAGAGGGAGAGAGAGATAGAAACAACAATGATCAGAGAGAACCACCGACTGGCTGCCTCCTGCACGCCCCCTCCTGGGGATTGAGCCTGCAACCTGGCCATGTGCCCCTGACCAGAATCGAACCTGGGACCTTTCAGTCCGCAGGCCGATGCTCTATTCACTGAGCCAAACCAGCTAGGGCTTATTCTGGACACTCTTGATGTTCTATTGTTCTTTCTCTTTCTTTCCCATGTTTCTCTTTCTCCTTGCTTTCTCTAAGATGTGTACCTTTTTCTGGGTCTGTGGAAAAAAGTCAGATTTGGATTCCCACAGGTTTTTTCAATGGGCTGTGGATTTCCTAGGAAGCAGGTTCTATGAAGATAATGTATGATTGTTAACAGGAGGACTGGTTAAGCTATTGGCCAATGATATAACTGATGCCTTTAGCAGATTGTCCTGGTGCAAAAAGCACTTCACTCCCATGGAGCTCGTGCAGCAGAGTTCTGTCGTTGCCTGTGCTTTATCTTACCTGCAACTGTTTAAGACTAATGCCCATGGAGGTGTGCCCTCTGCATCCTTCACTCACCAAGATGGTAGCAATCTTCTCTGCCCTAAATAAAGAAGACAGAGTGAGTATTGGGAGATTTTAATGTCCCCTGTGATCTAGCCTTCGATGTTACCCAGTTTGTCTATAGGGTTAGTAATCAGCAATCTTAGTCTCCTTTTCTAGTGCCTAACTAATTAAATATACATGTAATTCTTTGTCCATGGACTGTGCTTAATATGTTCTGAATTTAGCTCATCTTCCTACTGGGCACATTTTCTCTCCCCCTTTCCTCTCCCCTCCTCCCAGTTTAAAGATGCTAGTTTGTCACTGTGGAATGCATTGTGCCTCCCCTTTCATATGTCGAAGCCCTAACCCCCAGTACCTCAGTATCTGACTTGTATTTGGAGGTAAGGCCTTTAGAAAGGTGATTGTGTTAAAATGAGGCTATTAGAGAGGGCCCTAATCCAATATGATTGGTGTCCTTGTGAGAAGAGGAGATTAGGACACAGAGGGTCTCCAGGGATGTGTACCACAGAGAAAAGACCCCGTGAAGACACAGCAAGAAGGTGGCCACCATCCAGGCAAGGAAAGAAGCCTCAGGAGAAACCAAACCTACAGATCTTGGACTTCCAGCCTCCCAAATTGTGAGAAAATGAATTTCTATTGATTAAGCCACCCCATCTATGGTGTTTTGTTATGGCAGCTCTAGCAGACTATTATATTGGGTGAAACTCTTCTATGAGAGAGACCTTGTGCCCCTGCCCCTCAGCCCAGTGCCAGTGCCCTGAGGATCTGAAGCCACTAGGGAACAAGAATGGCTAGAGCAAGTGGGCTTCTAGAAAGTCATGTCTCATGG